TTTGCATTGGAAACCAAAAGGGAAAGAACCAACATAAAGAAACTCTACACTACATGAATATTTCAATGCCAACTCAGAGAGCTAAAAAGGTTTTGTTGGAAGTAGGATATATCATGTTTATTTCTAATCAGAAATTTGGCTTGACTTTCAATAGAAATGATGTTCATCTGTCGTTATTCAGATTTTTGCCATGGAAACTATTATTTGCTTGAAGAGCAGGTCATAATCGCTTTCAGATATTCTTATAGTTGTGCAAATGAGGACACCGGTTAGAGGAAGTACATATGAATTAGCAAGGACAGGCTTGCTTGCAAGGACAATTGTAATTTCATCCTATTTAAGAGGCTCAAATTTTGAGGAAATATAACAGTATTTCCTTATGCACAGCAATAACTGACTGTAACTCATTGAATTATATAAAATATAAATACAGTAGAAGCTTCCTTATTTGGCTTTATATTGAGCGGATTAAAAACTGATTTAAAACAATCATATTGCATGAGTACAATGAATTCAATCTGCTAGCTGCTCCTGTGATTGGGAGATACAGTGCTGAGTCTGAGAATTATAACAAAATAATTATTATTCTTTGCAGCTGCTGAACCTCCTCAAGCAGACCCAGGGAGTACTATCACTCTCTTATTGAAGCTCAAGCCAAATTTCTGATTAGAAATAAACATGATATATCCTACTTCCAACAAAACCTTTTTAGCTCTCTGAGTTGGCATTGAAATATTCATGTAGTGTAGAGTTTCTTTATGTTGGTTCTTTCCCTTTTGGTTTCCAATGCAAAACCTATTAAAGTACACTTGAGTGCCTACATTTTCTCTTTCACATATTTCTTAAATATTGGAGACTTTTAATTTCTAATTCTGGCTGCTGATAAGTTTCATTTGAAAGCTTTATACATATATGCAGCACTAAAACTATTTTCTTTCTAGGTGATTTACATGGAAAATTAGATGATCTTTTGCTGATATTCTACAAAGTAAGTAATTAAAATGTGAGTTTTTAAGATAGTGCTTAGCTCAAATCACCTATATCCAGATGATCAGCACTTTATGCTATCAGTTATTAAGATTTGAGCATCTTTCCACTGGTACTCTGTTAACTATAATTGGAGGCTGATTGACAGTACTACTAAAGGATATTGGAAGATATGAAAGCTAAAAATAAGGACTCTGGGATTCTTTACAAAGTGTAAACGGAAGTTGAAATAGCTTAGATGAGTTTTCTCCTTGAAAAGAAAAGCAGTTTGAAGCTTGGATGTTATGAAGCATTTTCTTCAATTAAGTAAATATTTGAACATGCTTTTTTTTTGAGAGAGACATACCATAGTATAAATGCACCCCCCCCCCCCCACAAAGTGAGTGGAAAATGTCTGTGCATCTTATAGAATGAATGTTGCCCACCTGCTGGCTCCCACTCTTCGACCTCTGCCTTCCAGCAATTTGCCTCTGGCAGCAAACAGCCTGGTCATCCTCAGCACAGCCTGATTTAGCACAAGCAGCTGATTGGTGGTTGGATCAGCCTCCCGGAATACTGTCAGTCAGCTGTTCCAGTGGGGATCGCCACCACCGCCATGCATCACCACTTCCACCTATCGCCACCTCCAGGCTCCCCACTTTTGGCCTTCGCACATCCCATTCCAGGCAGTGGGGATAGGTGGTGGCAGCAATGGAATGAGCCAAAAACAGTATGTGTGGAGGCCAGAAATGGGGCGCATGGAGGCGGCAGTGGCAATGGGTGGCAGTGGCAATGGGCAGTGGCGATCCCTGTAACCTGGAACAGCTGGTTGGTGGTATTCTGGGAGGCCGATCCAACCGCCAATCAGGTGCTCATTCTAAATCAGGCTGTGCTGAAGCTGACCAGGCTGTTTGCTGCAAGGAGGCAAATTGCTGGGCGGCAGAGGCAAAAGCAGATTTTTTTTCTTGTTTTCCTCCCCAAAATCTAGATACGTCTTATAGTCTGGAGTGTCATTGTCCGAAAAATACGGTAAATATATAAAGTTAATTATATATTTATTGTTGGATGGATTCGTAGAAACTGTGTCCAGGGCCTTTTGCTTAGCTTTGGGTAATGTGCTAGTTGAAGCCCTACCTGGACCTCAAAAATCTTTGTGCAATGGTCTGTAAGAATGTCCTTGAGAAAAAGGAGGAAAAGCCACAGATTAGACACCAGTCAGATAAGAGGCGCCTTAGCTTGCAGAAGCGACATCAACAAAGGCATCATCCCTACTTTACAAATTAACAGAGTTGGAAGGGACCTTGTAGGTCAAACAAGAGACCATACACCATTTCTGACAAATGTGTTGTGGTCCACCACCAGCTTGTGGAGTTGGTAGCAGAGTCGGACAGTGAGGAGGTGGGGGAGGAACATGGGCCAGTCCTGGAGTTTGGGGAAGGCTCGTATGAGGGTTCTGCCAGAGGCAGAGTGGGGGGCCAGGGCCATCTGGTAGTTATGTGCTGCCTCCGTAGCCTTGTTTATCAATACATGTTTGCCAATCACCTGGGCCCATTCTAGATAGGGCTTCTTTAGCAGATTGTACCATTCTTTCTGCTTCACCATTGCTGGCCAGGTGGGAAGGGGTGACCAGGGCATGTCTGATAAATTGTAAATTGAGGCCCATTGTCAGAAACCAGGGCATCGGGCAGGCCATGCATGGAGAAAAGTCTCTGTAGCCCCTTGATGACCGCCTCTGCCATGGTGGTAGTCATGAGGACTATCTCTAACCATTTCGAGTAGGCATCCACAACTATGAGGAAAGTTTGCCCATGCACGGGGCCTGTAAAATCAATGTGCATTCTGGACCAGGGTGCCTTAGGCCTTTCCCATTCGTGCACAGGCGCCTCTGGCAGAAGCAGCAGAAGAGTACAAGAAACAAGCTGATAAGCACCACTCGCTCCAACCCCACTTCCATGTGGGGGATAAAGTTTTCTTGTCTACCAAATACATAAAGTTAAGAATGCTTAGCAATAAATTAAGGCCCAAATTTTTAGGTCCCAATAGTGAAAATAATTAACTCAGTTACAGTTCAGCTCAGTCTACCAAGAATTCTAGGGAAAATTCATCCCATATTTCATTGTAGCTTGCTGAAACCTATGATTGGATTCAACCTAAGACTGTTGACCCAGCTGCCCCCCCCTCCAGTAGTGATACAAGGAGAAACACACTATAAAGTGAAGAAAATTTTAGATTCTAGATTATATAGAGGTCAATTACAGTATTTAATGCATTGGAAAGGGTACCCTTTGTCTGAAGTTACATGGGTGGAAAGTTGGAATGTAAAAGCCGATAAGTTAGTGAAACAATTCCATGATAAATTTCCCGATAAGCCAAAGGGCCCCCCTGGTGGGGGGAAAGGTGGTTAGTTATGCTAACCTCCACATTATTCTCTTTTCAGGATACACTTTTCTTCTGAGGAGAGGCCATCTGCCAGGCCTGCAGCCATCTTTTCTTTTGGGTCTTTGGCGTGCCACAATTTCTATTATTCTGCTATGCATTTTCTATTGTGGGAAATGGGAGGGGGGATTGTAAGGAGTCACATACTATGAAGCCACAACAAAATTCTTTATAGAAAGCCAAGGTCATCTTTTGTTTCTGCACCTCTGCACTTGACCGGAATTGGATGGGTGGAACTGCTAGCATGGCAGTGGGAGATTGGACCATGTGATGGACTTGTGCGTGTGGGGGCAAGATTTCAACTGGGTGGGGAAAACCGGGAAGCTTTCAGATTCGGGATTTCCCAGATGTGCCAACATGGCTCTCTTAATAAATTGGAACTTTGAGCAATTCTTTGCTTTGGATTCTGATTTATTTTTGGATGCTATCTGGAACCCTGATACTTGGACTTTGGTGTTTTAGACGCCACTTCATCCTTCTCCCTCCATGGAATTTCCCAAATGCCAATTAGCAAACTAATTTCAGCTCCGGGACACCTTTTAATGTCCAAATTCAAATGTTTCTTTTACCTGTGAGTTGGCCAATCACTCACCTGGTTCCAACACTCCGTTCCAACACCGCTCCTGCACAAAAACGTAGTCCGGTTGCCCCAGCTTCAGAGCGGTGATTCTTTGCCAGCAGCCTCCACTGTAGGTTTATGTCCCTCACTCTGCAGATTATTCCATCAAGCAGCAACTCGTCCAAGTCTCTGAACTCGCAGTACGCTGCGGCCTTACGAAGCGTGGCAATGTACTGGTTGATGGTCTCCCCTTCTTTTTGGTTGTGCAAATTGAATTTGTGCCGGCACACAAATTCAGACTGTTTTGGTGCGTAGTGTATCCTGAGAGTGTTCTGTAGTATGGACCAGGTGACCCTCTGGACCAGGGTTGGCTTGGACAGTGCCTTTGCGGTGTTGAAAACTTCAGGCCCACAGTAACTCAGGAAGAGAGCCCTTTTCCTGTTGTCTGATAGGCCAAGAAGGTCATTGGCGTCCATGAAGCACTCGAACCTGATCAAGTAGGAATCCCAATGCTCCGTGGCTGGATCGTAGAGAGCTGGTGGGGCGTGCGTAGTCATTTTGACGAGCCGAGGCAAACTTTGAATTTGTCACTCAAAATGGCCACTTGGCACTTGACGTTAATCACTCTGATTGGGAATATGCTGGATCCTGTTGTCAGCTCTTTTTGCCTAGTTGTCTTCTGATCTCATCCTCATCGCCAGTGTTAGATAGGGTGAAAGGATGAGACAGGACTCAGACTTCAGTGACAACAACAGCTCTTTATTTGGAAAACTATGTACAGATCCAGTGCTGGCCCTTTTATAGCGAGCTGTCAGATGGCTCAGCCAATCAGCTTCCCATTTTCCCATTGGAATGGAGAACCTTGGTGGAGCCTATTGCTCCAATCTTAATATCTAATAACTGTACTTTTATGTTTTTATTTTTTTAAAACAATAATAAACAAACAAAACACGTAACATAAAAATATCTTCAATTCCGTACAGTGTGTCAATTGGTTACAAGGTTTTTGTGCATCCTTTCCGTAGTCATCCCTTAAATTTTATATAAAGTCACATATTGTCAATCAAGTATATTTGTATACATTATTATTATAATACTTCATTTGTTTGACTGTCACTATTATTTCTTCATTTTAAACAAGGTATTCTAAATATGGGTTCATTTATATTATAATAATTTGTTACATCATCTTCAACATGTCCAATNCAGATCTTAATAGTTGTGCAAATGACTCTAAGAGTTCGAAATGGTTGAAAACCAGCAGTGGTCCACAGGTGGCATACAGGAGAATGTCTCGTCTTCCCCCTCTCCTGTAGGCCTGGAAAGGCCCAAAGTCTGGGGTGGCTGAGGGATGGTCATTGTGAATACCCCACTCGTCCAAAGTCCAAGGTGCCGTAACAAGATGAATTAAACAGGCGCTATCCAAGATGGTATTCCAGGGGCAGTGGCGGGTGGCAATGATCAAAGCAGCTGGGGCTGAAGCGGCAAGTCCAGGGGCCCTGACATTGCGGTTGGAGGAGGCTAGATATTCAGAGGCCAAGATAGAGGAGAGCCAGATGTCAGGCAGGCGGAGCAGGGGGGGGGGGCTCCACAATAGCGATGGTAGGCTGAAGAAGAGACTCACCAGGGAGAAAAGTAGATGTTACTGAATGAGTCAGTGATCCAACCAGGCACATTTTCATGAAAAGAGCTGCTTTTCCATCTGTAAAATTTTCTTTTGTGTGGTAAATAATTAATGTCAACTCTAACCTTCTCCAAGAAATGGTTCTTATTACCAATTTGAGGGTACCAAATCTGACCTGCAAAATTCCAGACAAACACTAGATGGCACCAAAGAATTAGTTATCTGCCCCCTAAAGATTCTTCAGATTTTTGCCACCCAGATCTGATTATCCTGTTATAACAGAAGGAATGCCTATTGAGAAATGTTTTTTCTGGAGCTGTTAAAATGATGAAAATATACAAAATAGTAGGAATTCTAATTTATAAACTATATTGGGTCTAAATAGCATTCTTTAGTGGCCGCA